ACACATTGCATAAAACGTTACAAGATCAAATGAAGTTAGAATGATGCGTGAAACGGCGTTGCTAGAAGAATAGGCTGCAGAAAATTAATTAATAAACACCGGAGATAGCTAGAATTGAGTCTGTTTCTGACATATCAATATTCTTCTGCTCCCAGTGCCCAAAAATTTTGGTAAGGTTCTGTGGGGCCCTTCTCAAAATTTCAGACTTAGCCTCTACTCTCTTTCAGACGTGATCTAAAATTCGACACCCTATATTAAGCCTCACACACTGCGTCACGAGTAAAGGGGAGTTGCGAGAGACGTGTCGGCGAGAGAGCGCGAACCTTCGCCTTGACTCGTGCAGCAAAGCATGAGACGAGGGGTACTCTCTTATATGAATTATGTAGGTCTTGTGCTGCCCAAAAGGGTGTGCTTTTTGAGCTTTTTTCGTCTGATTTGACCATTCTGGTTTGAAATAGGGTACGTTTTTCACTCTGGCTGGGCATAAGGTATCTTGATAACAAGGAAATAATTTTTTACCGCTTCAACATTGGCAAATTTGTAGCCCTTCTCAAACGTTTACGCAGATGGAAGCCATTTCTGGTTAGCTGCGTTAATTTGTTGGAGCCTTGCATTATAATTTGATATGTCAGAAATGGGTTGTCGATTTTTAGCCTCGGTCCTGAAATAGGGTATGGAAAATCACAGATTTTGTTTCTGAAATAGAGAAACTGCTTTGGGTTCGCGTAAACTGTCAAAAAGGCCTTCAAATGTCCGATGTTAAAACTAGAAAAAACCATACTCAATTTTCAGACCATCGACAACGCGACGGAGCCACACATACCACCGGTTATTATAGGGCGTAATCCCCTCCCGGGGGAGGGACGTGAGGGCCGTTTTGACCTCACGTGGCGCTACACGTGAAATTTCCAAGGTCAACAAGCTCCATAAATGTTATGTTCCTATTTGCCTCTAGATGTGAGTTTCTAATCTTTGCATAATTCTGTTATCACAAACCATCATTTTACACAAAATTTCATGAGTGAATAATCAGGTAAACAATTATTGACTGGTTCTTGCATGCCTCCAATATTAAAATTCTGCTCGCTGTCACTCGGCGGATCGGATCATACCACCCTAGTAACTTCACGTGATCACATTTTCCGTTTGCTTTCATTTATCAACCACATTGATAAACCTTTCATAATCCCTCCAGATCAGCCGATTTGAAATAATATTTTTGCTAACAAAGACCGAATCGTCCCAGCGAATCATCTTTCCTTTAGGGTTTGACCTTTAGCGCGTGACTTGTCAAATTTAAATTCCGCAAATGGCAAGTTTACTCTAATAGCGAAAATTCTACATAGAAATCGCGGCTTGACAAATATTTTAGCGTTCGGTAACACGTCTAACCTCTGAAATAACGTATTTATACCACTTTTAATCGATCTTTAAAACTGCATATTGTTTCAACTCGATGGAATACTCTCGAGTGCGTTCCCGTGTCCTCTCTCCCGAGCGCTCGTTACCCGAACAGCGGGTCGCAATCGAAAGTGGTGGTGCGGCAACTATTTTTAAACGTATATTCCTCTATTTGAAAATGTTGGATGAAGATCCCAAAAGAGCGAACTTGAAGTTGTAAACAAAGTTAGCAATGAACAAAATGCGCTTTTCACCATTGTTCGTGGATCGAATTCAGTTGAAGGCAAATTATAAAAGCTAAATTTTCTTTGTTTATGAAATGTACATAAACAGCCGAAAAGCCACGCAACTAAAAAATAAATAGAACATGTTTTTTACATCGGAAAGGAATCGTACTGGAATCTCTGCTCGCTACGGACGAAGCTATGGAAAATTTCACCGAAAATTGCTGCCTTTCTTCCGTCGCGTTTCCTGCCTGCACTAATTGTCATGCAAAATTACTCAGTGAAATAAACCTTCAGATGTTGATTTAATCGCTTTCCTCAGGGGCGATTAAAACAGTGAATGATGCAAAGCGCATGATTGGCTGATTTTTTTTCCATACACTTCTTTGACAGCTGTCAATATAACGTCGTGAAAACAATGGATTATGATGAACGCTTCCAAATATAGCAAAAAATTCAAAGGGCTTTCCTTGCCGAAAGTATTATGTCACTTCGCCTAAGTTCTTTTCCAACATCCTTGAAAGCGAGTAGCATAGCTCCCACCAGTTTTGCTTGAATCTTCTTCATTTAGAGAGGAGCAGGGAAGACTCAAAATGGTGTGGATATGCGGACGTAATAAACCTAAAGAACAGCTTGTTCATAAGGAAGAAAGAACTTCAGTGAAACAAAAAATCTGCTATGGAGTGGGACATGTATTTAACGATCTTTGCATTCAAGCTTGGTTCACCTATCTCATCATATTCTTCAACAAGATAGTCAAAATTTCCGCCACAGGTACCGGTTACATTTTTCTTTCGTCGCAAATCGCGGACGCGATATCCACGCCGTTCATAGGCTACGGTTGCGACAAATCTCTCTCCAAGAAAATTAGCAAGAAATACGGCAACAGGAAGATATGGCATTTATTCGGCAGCGTTGGAATCGCGCTGATTTGGCCCTTCGTGTTTAGCCCGTGTTTGGTTTGCAAAGAAGATAGCCCTGACTGGGTGCCGGTCGCTTATTATGGAGTATTCGCAGCCTTGTTCAGCGTTTGTTGGCCTATGGTGGAAATCAGCCATTTGTCTCTTATGCCGCACGTCGCTAAACGTTCAAAAGATGCCGTGGAACTGAGCGCAATAAGGTGAGTTGGAAATTTTTTTTATAAAATTCTGCTTGCAAATCGACAGGAAATGGAATTTTCCGAGATGATCACCGTTGGCGGTGTGATGTAAGCCGTTGGCTTTGTTCCAAGCTTGGTTTAAAATCTCGCTTCGCTACCGCTACTGAAAAAATATTTTATCAAGTTGCATTCATGTCAAAACAACAACATTGACTCCGATCCCCTTGGTGAAATTTCTTTGCATAAGCTTCGAATAATCATGTGGACTTTTGAATCGCCGCTGGTTTCAGGGAAAATTTTTTTTGGTATTGCATCATTTATTTGACAAACTGGGTTTTCCTTCGGCCCGGCACGGAAGGCGACCGGAACGCGAAAAAAATTACTGTCATGTGACCAACGTGTCTTGTGACTTCAGATTAATTTAGCATTTGAATCGCAAGAGCAGATCTTTTGTTCAGCGCTACTAATAACAAGATACGCTTCACTGAAGCCCTTGTTCACAAAATCATGCAAAACACATGATATTGTCTTGTACAAACCATTATGTAAGCAATGTCAAAATAAAGTTGTTTTCGAGAAAATGCGAACCTTGAACTTGAAGCCGATATTTGCTTGTCGATGCGAAACTGATAAACAATGCTTGCTTTATTGCACAGCTAATAGCAACCTAATTGCGGTTTCGAATGAGCAGGCCATGGAGAAATATTAAAAGCTAAATCGAAAATTGTTAATAAAAAAAACCGTTTAAATTGCTGTCCCTATGAAATTATCTCTTAGGGTCCGGATATGAATGTGATAGGCACAATACGTAGAAGCTTTATTTTATTCTCATAAAATTCATTTTAAACAAATAGGTTGTTTACCACTCGAGTAATGCCGGTTGAATACAGCATAGACAAAAAATATGCCCTTTGGGAAGGACGATATCTCGTTAAAGTGCAGATTCCTTGCATTTGAATATTAAAGCTGTTTCTGATCTAGCGCCCTCTCATTTCCTCCGTTAAAGCCATCACTTTCAGAGCAGTTTGACCATTTTCTTTCGATCGAGTGAAAACCTTTTCGATGGATTCATTGGGAAACCGTAGCATTCAATGGCTTGACCTTGGCTATATTTCGTGTTGTGCCGGAGTATTACAACGCTTTTAATTAGTTGCCATAAAAAAAATTAATCACCTTGGCCTTGAAGGTTTAGGTCAATTTCTTTGTTGCCTCAGCTAATTGGGCCGGCAAACGGTTTCAATTTTTAAAGGGAAGTTTCAGTCACTTACGCACGTTCTCCAAGAGCGTTGAAATGAGGTTAGAACAAAATGGCGGCTCAAAGAAAGCTTGAGGTGCAACTCGCTGTAGGCTTGACCCTGTTTGACCCGAACCATGAGTGTTTTTCCAGTTGTTGAAGGACCTGCTGCGGAACACCCTTAACGATGGGAAATGTTTAGTTTTCGCAGCAGAAAGCCAAGTCATGTGAATTAAATGTAGTCTCGATATGTGCCTTTATTCAAGAAGCGCTTTTGTGCACGATGATGTAGTTTTTGTTCCTCTTTGGATGCGTGTAATGTGAGCGAAACTGCGACACATTCTTTTGGAAAATGCTATTTTTTGAAACCCCTTTTTGTGTAGTCTTATTTCTAAAACTTGGTAATTATGACCCTGTTATTGCTATATCTGTAAATGCAAGAAACTATAGACTAAAGGTAGATTCCTTTATTGCGTTCGTAACATTTTCTCAACCTCACAGATCCACATGCTACACCAATTTGCAGACTGTCAGTTGAGCATCAAACGAAAAATATGCAACTTTACCGCTGAAACGTTAACAGTTCTCGACAGTATAAACATAACAGAACTTAATCTACGAGTTAGAAAGCTTTTCTGCATTTCACACTCTTCTTTTAGAATTTAGACATTTGTACAACTCCAGAAACTCTACATAGGGGGTTTCAAGATTTTGAAATCTTATAACGTCATTTCCTGTGATCAATATGGGTGATCAAAAATAATTTCTATTTCCCTTATCGTTATCTAGTAAGAGGCAGCTGTTAAAAGATGAATTGAAGATTATTTTTCTCTTTCAGCCCTAGGTTATGCTATTAAAACTCGTGTGTCTTTAAAAAGGATTGCTTCAGTGTAAGGTGACTGCTACTTACTGTGACTGGTCACATATTTTGTTCTTCTTCTTTGCGGGAAAAGTGATCATCGGAAATTGTCTTCTGGCCTTCTGAACTCACTTGTGGGACGTGTTAGCCTCTTTAAGAGTCCTTAATATTTGGGATGATCAGAAAACCTGCAATTCGTGACTTCTGCCATGATTTCTGTCAGTTCTTTTAGCCCTTCAGTTCATGACGAAAAACTCAACTAAAGTGTTTTTAGTTCAAAAGATTGGAGAAAGAAACTGAACCACTCAACATTGTTGGAAGCTTTTTTTTTCTCTGTTCATTCTTTATTTGCGTGAGGAAAAGTAAATGTTTGCTGTATTTCCGTGGGCTGAAAAATGTGCCGGGAATTCTCTCAGGAAATCCGCAGTTGATAGAATAACAACAACACACACACTGATATGTTTTTAAAACAAATCCGTCTATCACATCGCACTATGGGATTCGCCGACGTTTTCTTGATAGTATTCAATTTAACCAAAAAGAATCTCTTCAGTTGTCAGCTGTTGAATACACCGAAAAAATCACGAGTGAACTTATGAATGTATCCAATTTTCTCAGAATAGCTTAAAGGAGATATTTTTGGACGTCAAATGATATCTGTTTTAAAACTAAACCGATACCTTTAAAAGGTGTTGGTTTATAGTCTTGTGGTTATCCTAGGGTTATGCGAATTTAATCCGACCTGCACGTTTTGAAAATCATCATTGAGAAACATTTCTTCAATGATGACAGATGTAATTTTATCACAGATTCAGTTGTTTGTTTGCTTATTTTCTCTTCAAAACATAAAACAACCACCTAGCCCCTGTTTTCTCTACATTGAAAGCGAACACTCGAACATTTTGTCTTGGAGGTTACCCAGTGTTTTCCGCAGTTCCTGACACTGGAACCAGGCTACGCGAATTTAGTGCGGCGTAAGAGAAAAACCGTTTTCCTTTCGTCTCTTTTGTTTGCGTTTTACAAGGCGTAATGCACTGTTGTGTCAAGATGACTATTGTGCATGGGGTACACATCACAGCCTTCAATCTCTATTCAATTCGAACCCTGAACCAAAATTATCATGAGTTGCCTGTGACGCGACTTCGTAAATGTACATTTTAAATGCGTTAAAGAGTGAATTTCTCCAGTAGACGTTATCATTATA